ATATTGGGCAGACTCTTAAGGAGTCCGAACATGAGTAAGCAGTGGCTAGATTATAAGAATCTAAGCAGTGGCTAGATTTTAGGAATCTGAGCAGTGGCTAGATTATAAGAATCTAAGCATCTTAATGGAGACAAGATGGACCTTATATACAGAAAGACTATGGGAGGGATCTAGGAGTGGCCAAGTAGTCTATGAGGTAATAGAATTCCAGGGAACTGGACCACGTGGCCAAGGGAGAATGGAGAAATGGCCTGGGGCCATAGGGAGGTCCACAATGAAAGGCCAGTTGATGGGATTATAGCCTCAGATTTGGTCATGTGGGAAAGTCCAGGGTTTTTCTTTTCTGGGGCCCAGATCCCAACCCCATCACTACCCTAATAGTTCTTCTTACTCAAAAGATGAAGATATAAAAATCAGTACTCTTTAAAAAGTATACTTTGCAAGGAAGTATGTGAATGTATGTGCATATATACTTACATACTGAGGAAACAGTTAAGAGGCAGGCAGATAAACTTTTTGCATTAAGGGAACACAATAATCATTCATCCAATTAGTATTTGAATATCTAGTATGTACAAGATATTGTGCTATATCGCTCTGGGGATAAAACTATGAATTATACATGGTCCCTTGTCCTTAAGGTACTTTTAATGTGCTAGAGAAGGTAAGCAGGGGATACAGAACAATCATATTAAAAGGCACCATGTAATATGTGGCAGCTGAGGTGATCAAGGAAGATGCCACAATGATATATGAACAGTGCCTTGAAGGATGGATTAGGATCTCAATAGTCTGAGATAAGGAGGAGGTGATTCCAGAAAAAGGAAAGATATGAGCATTGGAAGAAATGAACAAGTCTTTGGAAAACAGTAAGTAGATGGATTTGGTCAGAGCATGTGACAGGAATAGTGGGAGGTACTTTTTAAGTTAAATTTCACTGATACCTTTTGTTTTAATTTTTTTTTTTTTTTTGGTGAGGGCAATTGGGGTTAAGTAACTTGCCCAGTGTCACACAGCTAGTGAGTGTTATGTGTCTGAGGCCGCATTTGAACTCAGGTCCTCCTGACTCCAGGGCTGGTGCTCTTACCACTGCACCACCTAGCTGCCCCTGATAGCTTTTGTTTTTATGACACACACATTCCTGGATATGCTCCACTCTGTACCCCTGGAACCCTCCTTTGTAAGAAAATGTTACAGAAAAACAACCAATATGATGTCCTGGTCTGACAATGTAGCAGTCCCTAGCCTCTCCCCTGAGAGGAAGGAAACATGTTTCATTGATGTTCCATTGTGTGTGAGGGAGACAAAACTGGAGGAGCATACTGGGGCCAGACTGTGGGGGTCCTCGACACCAGGCTAAGGGGACTGTACTTTATCTGACAGGCAATGGCAAGCCACTGAATGGTTTGGGGCAAGAATTTAAATTTAAAGCTCTACTCTCAGAATATTAGTCTATGTTTGGAGAAGATGGTAAATAAATGCTTCTACCAATAGCTCAGGCATCAGGTGATATAGGCATAAATTAGGGTATGGTGGTAATGATAATGAAAAGAAAGAGACCGATTGCCTCTTACAATGCACAAGAAGACTCAAATCAAAAACTTGGTGACTGACTGGATGTTAAGGGGGAAAGAAGTAAAGATAATTCCCATATATGTATATGTATATGTATGTGTGTGTGTATATGCACACAAATACACACAAAAATCCTACTGCTCTTGTAAGGAAGAACTAATGAGTGGACTTGAGCAAAATTTCCAATGCCTAGTAAGAGCCCCTGAAAATCTATTTTATTCTTTATCCACAAAATGGAATCACTAAATAATTGACTAGAATTCAAAGGAACAGCTGTAATATGCACTAGTTCTAGAAGGATGCACACTATCCACATTTAAACTGGTATCCTTCATTGATCTTTGCACGTTAACCATGAAAACACAGATTTAACGCATATATTTAAAGAAAAAATGATTTTACCCATACAGTAACTCCATCAAGGCACAAAGTGCAGTTCTTATAGCAAGAGTACAGAAAATTCAAATTTGATTGACATATTTTGCAATTTTAAAAATATATGTTCAACTTATAAAACAAATTTTGACAAACAAGAGTAAAATGTTTCTTGGAGTTTTCAATAATTATTATGGGACCTAGTATACATGATGGACCATGCCAAAACAATGTGTTGGAGATACTGGAAACAACATAAAGAAATGCCTGAGTCCTAACTAATGAATATCAGAACTACTGACAAAAGACTCCTTCTGTCACTTCAGTCCTATTTTTCTTACATCATTTACTAATATGTGGAAAAATGCTTTGTGAAGGGAAAGAAGAATTGGTGTGGATAGCAGAGTACAAGGAAGGGTCATGAATGAAATGCCATAAATAATTTAAAATTTAAAAGAGCTAA